CCTCACGTTCGCCGCGAAGGGCCTCCGCGCGCTCGCAGTTGTTGCGGCACGCCGTATCGCGGGCCGACGGCGTCGGTGTGCGCCGAATCAGCTCCACATCGGCACGTGCCACCGCGATGCGCTCCTCCTGTAGTTGCGCCATCCACTGCTTGCGGTACGCGTCATCGCTGGCGTTGGGAAGCGTGTGCAGCGGCGACCTGAATGTGTTGCGCCAGTCCCCCGGCGGGTACTGCGCCCCGCCCGTGCCGCTAAGGGTGCTCGACCACGTTGAGCCCAGACCGGGTGTCTGCAGTTTCGCATTCACCCGCTCACGAAGCGTGGCGAGGTGGTGCCGGCGGTACTTTTCCTCCGCGGCAGCGCATTCGCGCTGGAACTCTCGCTCGGCGTCGCGCTCCGCTCGCAACGTCTCCGCCTTCTCCTTGAGAAGCGTCACATTCTGCTGCCGCTTCGCCTGCATGTGCTCACGCTCCGTCCGCGAGGCATCACGCACGAGTTCCTGCTGACGCTGCTGTTCTTCTTTGTATGTGGCAAGTTGTTGCCCAATGTCTTCGCGCAGCTTGGAGGCCGCTTGGATCCGCCGCAGCGTCGACTCCTCGCACTCAGCGCGGAACGCGTCACGTTGAGCCTTAATCTCACGGTGGCGCGAGCTGTCGGTCTGACGTGGCGTGTCGCCGAGCACCGACCAGCCGCGGCGGCGAAGCCGTGCCACCGCTGCTGTGTACTCTCCATCCTCTTCTTCCCGCCGCCTCGCCCGTGCGAGGAGGCGTCGCCGGCGCTTCTCTTGTCGCTCCTTCTCGTCCTGCTCGCGCATGGTGGCGAAGAGGGCGTTGTGCCGATCGCGCCACTCCAAGTATTCCTTCAACTTGCGGATGTGCGCGCTGGAGCCGACTATGACGTTGCCGTTGATACACGCCCGAGCTCCATCTGGCACGTTGGTGTCATGCGGCATGTCTTGGTAGAGGCCGACTGTGCCGACGCCGATGGTGCGGACCTCCTCCTGTGTGTGCCAGTAGTTGCTCGCGCCTACCAGCAGGTTCGTGCGGCGCCGGCCCGTAGAGTACGGCACAGGGCAGCGGGTTTTTGGCTTGCGGGGCGTCAAGTTTGACTCGCCAGCGGGGACGGCGTTATTTTTCTTCTGGCGGATCGTCGGCGTCCGCGCGGCGTCCTCGTCGGCCCGCACACGGTCCCGCGCGGAGCTGCCTTTGGTCTTGCTGTCGCTGTCATTCACGGGGGTGAAGGCGGCCGACACATCCGTTGCGACGGCCGCAGGAACCTCCAACGAAACCGCAACCACTGCAGTGGCATCGGCCTTCGGGCTTATTGGCAGTGTGGCGGCGGCGGCGGCGCCGTCGTCGTCGACGTTGTTGCTGGGCGAGAGGCTCGCCTTGGCGTCCTCAGCGGCGGGTTGCATCTTAGCCAAACTCCAGCTCCTCGTGAATGGGACGGAGCGCGAATCAGTACTTCCTACCGGTTGGGCTTGTAGTGGGTCTTCTGCTTGCGTTCTTCTTTGCTTTCGATTCCCTTGCAATACTTCTTGCCAAAAGAGCACACACAACCCCACGCCAGAGTGGCGAGCGAGAGGGCAAGAATAATAAACAAAAAAAAAGGAAGAGTGGAGCGTGGATGCCTCACGACATCACAGACGCCGAGGGCAAAGCTGCAGACGCAGAAAGCAACACTAAAACACCGAAAGGGGACTCTGAGAAGGGCAGCAACGAGTCCCGTGGCACCATATTTCTTCCAATCCCACTCGACGCGGCGTAATATCACTAGAAACAGCAGGACAACACGCAAACACACACAAACAAGGGGGAAAAACAATATATATATATATATGTATATGTATATATACCTCTTTCATTGCAAAATACTGTCACTTATTTCTGACCATCTTTTTATCGTCACGGCTGTGTCCACGTTGTCTCGCGTGTCTGGTGGTTCACGTAGTACTTGCGACCACTTTTCGGGTCCACACGCTCCTCCCAGAACGGCGGCAGTGAATTTGCGGTGGGCGCGTACGGTGTGGGCGACGGAGCCCCAACGTACGCAGGTGCCGTCGGCTGCTGCTGCAGTTGCGGCTCTGGTGGCTTATAGTGCTGCTGCTGTTGTTGTTGCTGCGTATCCTGCGGGGAAGACTTGAACTGCGGCCGTGTCCACGTTGTCTCGCGTGTCTGGTGGTTTACGTAGTACTTGCGACCGCTTTTCGGGTCCACACGCTCCTCCCAGAACGGAGGCAACGCGTTTATGTCAGGTGCGACAGTTGGCGACGCCGAGGTGGTGGGCGCTCTTGTTGGCACACCTGCAGCAACACCACTTCCGGCCCCTGACGGCAACGTCCACGAGGTCTGCTTTGTCTGCCGGTTTACGTAGTACTTGCGACCGGTCTTGGGGTCGGTGCACTCGTCCCAACCCGTTGTTGCTGCTTCTTCTAATGGTGCCGCTGTCGGTACTGTCATTGTCGTTGTTGTGGCAGCGGCGTTATGTTCCCCGCCTCGGCGCTGCTCCTGCTGCCGCCGGTACCAGGCGTCCACCTGGCGCTCCAAGTCGACCTGTTCCTCAACACCACCGGGGTGCTTCCACGTCGTGTTCACAGTGCCGTCGGCGTCGGTGTAGACAAAGTAGTGACGGCGCCGTTGTCGGTCGTACATGAGCGCCCATCCAACGGGGAGCCGCGTGGAGACTTCAGGCTCAGGGAACCCGTCGGACGCCGCTTTCTTTACCTCGGCATTGCTGGGCGGTGTGGTGGTGGTGGGTGGTGGTGGTGGTGGAGGAGGAGGAGCCGCATTCATCGCCACACCAACAGGTGCGCTTGTAGTTGCCGTCGTTGCTCCTCCCCCTCCTACTTCTGTTGTTGTCGCCTTTTCGTCATGCCCGGTAGCCTTCATTGGTCTCGCCGCTTCCGCCGCCGGGCCGTCAAACTTTTCCTCCTCCTCCTTCAAAAAGAGAGTAGTGGCTGTCAGCGCCTTTTTGTTGTTGCTGTCGTCACCCTCGAATGGATTCGGGGCACCTGGAAGAGGCGGCGGCACATGCAAGGGACCGGTGGCCGAAAGGAGCGGGTCCGTCGTTGACGATGGTGCCGCCGGCTTCGGCCCGTCTTTGTCTTTATCACCCTCTGTAAGCCGCTGCTGGAGCTGCCTCAGTTGTAGCAACACGGCCAACGGGAGCTCTTTCCCCTCGTGCTGCAGCGCTGCCAACGCCGCACTCGCGGCCTCTGTGTTTGGGATGAAGTCTACACCCTGTCCCTTTGCAATTGTTGCGATGCCGCCCAAGCTGCCGTATGTGGGGCTTACATATGCCATCAGCACGTCCGCTACACTGTCGCCGTCGTACACAACAAAGCAGACACCACACCCGCTGCTCTGGGCCCACTCCAACGCGGTAGAGATGTACGCATTTGCAGCGAAGTACACAAATGTCATGGACTTGCTGCTGGCTGCGGTGGAAGCGGCCTTTGCGAGCACCATCATTGTCTTGGTGCAGATGGCCGCGTCGACAGGGGAACCGGCGCGGCTCGGAATGGAGTCAAGCACATTCGCCTGGAAGCGGAGGCGGCGCAAGGAGGCGATGAGCACCTCGCGCTGCCGCTCCCCCAGCGCCTTGAGAATTGCGGAAGAGAAAAAAACAACGCGCTGCTCAACAGCAGCAGCAGCAGCAGCTGAAGCGTTAGTGTCGGTGAACAGACGCGTGGAAATGGCGTCCAGAAGCTTGTCAACACCTGCGCGTACGTCTTCCTCCGAAGAGGGCGTCATGCCGGAGAGAAAATAGTCCCCGTCCACAAAGAGATGAATCATCACCCAGTGCTCGAAGAAACTTGGATGGAACCTCCCTACCTTCCCCTTGACACAATAAAGTTGTGCTTGACAGTCTAGACCATAATAAAACAAAGCAGAGGAGGCAAACAAGACAAGCAGGAGGAGGATTGAGAAAAGACGCGGAGGGAGAAGGGTACTGCGGTGACGTTGGTTGTGAGGGCCTGCAGCAACAGCAGCCAGAGATGAATCAAAAGAGACAACCCGCCACTTGGCGCAAACAAGTGGTGAAAACCCCGTGGAGCAGCGGCGCATGAGCGACGCACGCATTCGCACACCACTTCAGCGGGAAAAAGTACGAAATTGTTTGCCCCCTTTTAAAGACAAAGATAAACCCCAAAGAAAGGCTATTTAGTACTCTGAAAGACACGGCTCAGTCTGTAGTTTTAATGGCTCTCTCTCTCTCTCTTTCTGATGACCAATGGGGA